ATTACATAAAGCAGTAACTCTAGCAGACTCAAATAACACACCATTAAACTTACACTCACAACATATGGACATGACATATTAAACATATTACACAACATATTAACAGCATAGATACCATTAAGCAATTGTGGGTTCAAAAGGCACTCCATGGCAGGCATCTTTACGACCTGGCCCAGGGTTTTGTTGACAAAATTGCGTCAAACAGTTGGTTAGCTTGGGGATGACTTTTTGGGGAGACATGATTTACATACAGAATCAAGTCATAAATACTAAAAACTACAGAAAACACATACTCAAAGATACAACACTCATAAATGACACATGCAGAAAATGTCACATCATGCCAGAAACTATACAACACATTACATCTGGTTGCAAGCTCTTGGCACAGACAGATTACTTACATAGACACAATCAAGTAGCAAATATAATACACCAAGAGCTTGCAAAGAAACNTGTTTATATACATATGTTATATTTGCAAATATTGTCAGTCTTTGCAGTTATAAAATATAAGGTATATTATTTGTTATTTCAATGTTGACAGTATTTCATTTATTTTATAATACTGTTAAATACAGATAATTTAGATTAAATTTATCTAAATATCTGAAATGTTCAACTTCCAAATTATTATTCTATTCCTTTATGTTATTAGCAAAGGTAGCATCCTTTGACTGACCAGTCACATGTAATCGAATGGCAGTTTTCCAACTATATGCAAAGAAAATAACTGAAGAGTATGATTTCTGATCAATAATGTCTGAAACTGAATTTTGCATGATACAATAAAGTGTAATAAACTCCAAACAATGGAATTTGAAGACTGTTAATGTTAAACAACAGTTGTTGTTCACATATTGTGAAATTATGGTACCGATGTCGCTCAACTTTTGAGCACAAAATTTTTCTTAATAATCCAAACTCAACAAAAAAAGGGGAAAACTTTTGTTCTGTTGTATTACCAATTTAAGATTGTCTGGATTTTGAACATTCTTGTGACAGCTGCCTCTCTACACCATGGTCATCCTAACAATCTGATTTCCTCTTTTTGTGGGTATTGTGAATTTTCCCACTTACTGTGATGGATTCTCTTTCAGCAGGGATTGTTTCTTTGATGTATTCTTTTTTAATCTCTCAGATTTTGAAATAAAAAAATTATCAAATTGATGTATTTTTCCAGATAATTATTCAAATTGCTTTAAACAGAATTCACATTACAATAAAATATAATTTTTTAATTATATAGTATTTTTATTATAATATAAAATTTTTAGAATGTTAGACAATTTTTTCATAATATTTTGAAAAATTAAACTAAAATCAATTTTATACCTTAATTTTATGAAAAAAACATAATTAAAAAATTTACTTTAGAACAGGGCTGTGGAGTCGGTAAAAAAAACACTTGACTCCGACTCCTGATAATTTTAGCAGGCCGACTCCAACTCTAGCAAAATTAAATACCAAGTCATTTTATGGGAGGGCAGAGGCACTCATAAGGGCTACTCTGAACTCTGAAAGGATTATGGGGCATTTACCCAAATACTTTTATAGTTAGTATTTTTAATATTTAACTTACATTAATATTTATTTGTATAAAAAAATTAATTTTTAACAAATATTTAATAAGAGGAGAAAGGGGGCAATAAAATTCTACATCTACATATATTTGACAGCATTTGCACTTCAATTTTACCCTTCCAGAAGAGTTAGTCCAACTAAAAAGTGTGCGATCTAGCTAGCTACTTCAACCCCTTGTTCAGAAAAGAAAAACTGTATTCTGATCAATTAGTCTGGCTCATTCAGAAAAATAGACTACTTATTTAGAGTATGGATAATAAAGGAATGATTCAAAAATATTCAAATTCAATTGGGTCAAAATAATTTGACTACTAAACACAAATACTACAAAGAATACTACATATTTAATAAATTAAATTGATGCATTTTGTATCAAAATGACTTGCTAAAACCTTTGATTATCCAGTACAAACATTTAATCGAGCTGCATCGATGCACTTTGTATTTAAAATAAATGAATTATAACAAAATAAAAAACGATTTTAAAAAATTAATAAATCTATATAAATAAAAATGTAAATGTTCGTTTGTTCAAAATCTTAAATCTCCAAAAGTTCTTAACCTATTGCTTTGAAATTTTGACACAACGTTGCATTCGAATACAATCATGTTTTTATATTATATAGATGTCAAAATTCCCCCCGTGGGGGAGGAACAAAATGAAGGCTTATCATGAAGAACTGGTCTTCTATTATTCTATTTTAGATGCGATTTTTTGCATTTTTGATTGCGTTTTAATAGGGTACGTCAAGAGAATGTACACTAAGAAGGGATTTTTCGAACTTCCCTACCGTGGGGAGTGTCAAACATTTATAATAGATACATTTTGAGCCACAGCAACGCATGGCCGGATAAAGCTAGTATATAATAAATTTTCTTTAATTTAAATAAAAAACTAAAGTAAATTTAAAATGCAGGAGTCGAAGTTGACAAATTTTTTCCAACTCCAACTCTTCTAGCCAGAAATTCCTCCCAACTCCGACTCCATAGCCCTGAGTTCAACACACCAAACATTCAGTGAACGATACAGGGAATACGCACATCTTTTTAACTTCTCCTATCTGGTCTATGTTTTTTGTACATTTCATTGGAATTATTTTGCACCCTACAGGTATTCCCTTATTAATTTTATAAAATTTCGTCTCTTAATTGGTTACTTAATTTTATATTTAAGTTACCCCCCTTTTTATTCTAGCACATGTTGTTTTACTGTTCAAAAGTGTATAAAGGGGGAGCTAAAATTCTTTTAGTTCCACTTTTCTTCCATTTTTTCACCTGTCTTCTCACGAGTTGTGTTATCCTAGCCATCACTGTAATCTCAGGTAATTGTGTTTTATTCTGTAAACCTTTGTATGTGTATCCTAAATATTTCAATACAATCAGTAAATCTGTAACACTTTAATAATTTTTTGCTGATAAATCTGTTATAATAGGACCGAGGAGGGGCATTATGCCCGAAATGCATATCCTTTCCTATCAATAAACTGACCTTTTTCTACTGTTGAGAACATATCACACAGTGTTCCTGTGTGATTTGTTCTCAACAGCAAACTTATGCTAAGAAAACACATATAAATATTCTATTTTTTAATTCTGTTAAATATTTATTTTATTTTATTATTAATTTTCTTTAAAATAATTAAAATAAAAATTCAGATAAATATATAAAGTCAGATAAATATATAAAGTCAGATAAATATATATAGATGTGCCTGACATAAACCATTTTTGAAAATTTCAGAGAATCTAATCTAAACTTGAACCAGGATCCCCTAGAATGGTATAATTTGCCTTTACTGCCCAACCATCTGATCTCAGTTTTTCGTTCTTAAGTTAGCTTTAAGATACTGATGAAAATATTATGTGAAATTGTGTAAAACTTGGTTCAAATACCTTGTTTATTAACTGTTTAAAGTTGAAATGAAAAATAAAAGTACAGCCAAATTATGGCAATCAAAAACTTTTTGATAGGCAAGAAATGTTTTTGGATTATTTTACAGTCTAGTTTCAGGTCATAGATGTTTTAGAATTGAATATCAGAGTGCTGATAAATACAACTGTAAAATATGTTGCAGAGTTTTAAAGATTTTCATGACAAATTGTTGAGGAAGCCAAAATATTTGTTTAGAAATGTTGCTGCACTATTTTAGTCCAGTGTTACATTTTAAAGACATTTTGTGATCTTTGCTTATTGATTAATAATTTTCGTTTAAACACTCATAATATTTTTCTTTATTTAATTGAAATGATTGTTAGCAAATCATATCACACGAACATACAAAAACCAGTTAAAAACAACTGTTTTTTAGTATCACGAGCATTTTCATTTATCCAGAATGAGTATCATTGGGTAGACTTTTAAACATTAAATTTTAAAGCAAGCAGAACATTTCCATAAATGAACAAACACAAACTTTAAAACGAATATACAAATTAAAATAAATATGATAACTTTGTGCATGTCAGTTAGAGTAAGTCCTGATGAAGATGAATACAGTATGTACCAGATGATCAAGCCATAGAAAGTGCCTGTCTTTCTTTAAAGTTCATTGCCTTGGTTTTCATATTTATAATGCTTTCAAATGTCTCAACCCTGTGGGTTCTATAGTTTGATGTAACAGTTTGGCTTGGTCAAAGTCGACTCGTATGTCCTCCTCTCTTATGTATGCAGCCAGTGTGATGTTGGTCATTCCTTTTCTTGTTATCATCATCAAACATAGTAGAAATGTATAAAACAGACCTGCACAACTTGATAATAGAGGACCAAAATTAAAATATCTGTGGCCCAAAAAGTTTATTCTAAGTTTTTAATGACTCACTTTCCAAGCAGAGATATAATTAAAGATTAAACTATTTTGCAAATAAACATATAAAAAAGGGAAATTTCAATTGATATCAATTAATTATACATTTATCATTACATTCTTACTTTATTTTACATCATCTGCATTTTTCGCAGACCATCCAAAATCATTTGGCAGGCTACATGTTTTGAAGGCTGACATAAGGCAATTATGGAAGACATGGTAATCAATGTTACTGCCTGCTTGTAAAGTATATATTCATCTTTCCCAGGACTTATGATAATTTTGTACATGTCAGTTAGACTATTTATTTTAATTTACATATTTGTTTTAAAATTTGTATTCCATTCTTTTGTGGAAATGCTCCGCTTGGTTTAAAATTTGATTTTTAAGTGTTCAATTATGTTCCGTTTCCTGATGGTCGTTCTGGACTAACGGAAATGTGATAATAGTAAACTGCTTTTAACTGGGTTTTTGGGTGTTTGTGTGATATTACTGTTACTTATTACCAGTTTAACTTGGTGCGAAATGATTTTGTCATATTATAATTTTATTGTTAAATTTATTAAGAGTTTAATGAGTTAATTAATTTGTTATTATTATTATTTGCAGACTTTAGTAGTTGATGGAGGTCTTCAGTTAACATAAAGAGCATAAAATAGGAAGACATGTTTTCATAACGTACTTCTTACAGCAAATAGAAGTTATTTGTATGAACATGAATTAAAAAATATAATTTTTACATCAGAATATACTGTATTATATGAATTGGTATTTTATTACTTTTATTATTAAATTATTAACAATTAGTAAAATTAATTTACTGATCAGAGAAGTTTTAGTAGAAATGAATTTGATCATTACATAGAAATTCAAAATAAAACTGAATATATTTATATGATTAAATTGTAATTATTTAAATTCAGTTAAACTTTTTGTATAATGAGAAACAGAATTTATTATATAGAAAATTTGTTAAAATGAAAAATGTACTAGAGGTGAAAAGAAAACAGTATATTGTAATGTTTTATTCTTCCTGAAAATAACTGTAATTGCATTAATAACAAAATAAAGTGTTGATTGTACATTTTTATGTAGGGTTGCCATAACCAAATCATAGAGGACATTAAAAATATTGATAAAAAAGCTGTAAATATTGAATATTTATTTTAATATAAGTTTTATTTTTTAAGAAATAAAGGAAATTATATATTTTTGTATTTTTATCTTATTTGTTTGTTGTTATCTGTATTTGTGTATCTATATATATCCACCAGAATGATAATTTCATATTCAAAAATAAGCTATCTGAAGAAAAAAGAGGACTGGTAACACAACTTTATGCAAATATAAATTTGAGTTTTGGTTGTCATTCTTTAAAATTAGTAGTAAAATGGAAATACAGAGGTTATGTGACCAAAATTTAAGAGTTATAAATGCATATTTTCAATATTCTGTTTATTAAAGCATATTTTCTTGCTTTCAAGACTTTTTTAGACTATTACTAGACCGACACTGCATTGCTCTTTATCTTTCATGAATTTTTTAGAAGCTTTCAAACTTTCTTGTCCAATTGATTTTGTAAAGTTGCCTAGTGGAAAATTGTCTTATAGCAGCACGTATGTTGAAGAGTTCGGAAGATATTTTTTCAACTGATGGTACTGCTGTTCTCTTACAGCACTACCATCAGTTATCACAGATGTTGCATGTGATGAGAGGACACAAGTGCTTCAATATATAAACATAAGATTGTATAAAGTTTCTATTGTATGGCCCGGTGGAAGACAAAATAGTGTCTGTCTGTACATTTAAATCAGATCATTAGAGTAAATTGCAGGTTTGTTATGACTTATGCAAAGCATTGATTAACATTGATATTCCATTTCATATACTCAAGGATGTGTTTAAAAGTTTCCTTGAGAAATATACAAATGAAAAAGTACCAGATGAATTGACTCCTCAAAAGAAGTATGTTGGTGAATTGTATGATGAAACCATCAATATGATCAGAACAAACACTAAAAGAAAAAGTTTGTGTTTCCATTGACAAAACCACAGATGTACTTGAGAGGAATGTTGTTAACTACATAAGAACTTGTGATGCAAACCGGAAGTTACATTATTTAAATTCAAAAATTTTCCTTCGAAAGGTGCTAGATGATGACTGGCACGACTCTATTATTAACAGAGGCAAGACACTACAAATTTGAGGTGGAGAGCATATATTTTAAATTAAATAAATTTAAGATATGATTAAAAACTGCAGCCCGGCATTGCGACGATGTCACAATAAACAATTGCTCGTTACTGGTATGCACATCGATCGAAAAGATCCTTATCAGCCATACATGAATAGTTATAGATTACACTAAAGGGCAATGCACATCAGCTAAGAATTTATTATAATCAGACGATGCCTCCAATATTTCGTAGTAAATTAGTAAATAGCTGCCTTAAGATAATTTACTACGAAATATTGGAGCCATGGATATATCCACGGCTATCCCCATTGTAGGCCCGGCCGAATCCACGATTGAAATGGAGAGAAAAGTCTACTTGATACGGAAAGAAAAAAAAAGCTGGCTGGTAATGAATGAAATTGTTCTACAGTTTTAACGTATTGATGTTATTAAATTCAACCGAAAAGCGCAATTAATGCAAAAGTATAAGCGACCATTATCAATATTTTGAATTATCCCGTGTTTTCCAAATCAAGACACGGCCGCATTATTATAGTTTCTCAGTACACTAGAATATTTATATTTATATTGTCTATAATTGTTTTAAAAGAAATTAAGCACGTACAATTAAATTTTTATATAATTATTTATATTCAATTGGTTAAAATTTTGGCTAGATTTTGGCGAACTTTCGTATTGCGGCAGTCGGCAATGCTAAAGGTCTCATTCTAACGTTTTTCGTCTCGGTCGAAAGGTGTTAGGCTCACCGCTGTTCGATTTTCTTGAGAAAATTGATTAAGTCGGCCAATCTTTCGAGAAATAATTATGGTGAGTACAAAAAAATGATTTTTAATTAAACGTATTAAAAGTTTCTCGTCGTTACTTTAAGACTGTAAAATGTTAGCTAAGCCTAAAATACCGACCACGTGGCCGTTCCGTTTTTGCAAATAATAATCTGCCATACTTTGAGAGTAATATTTTTCAATCGAATGAATTAATAGATTTGTATTATAACTTCGCTTTTCTAATATAAACTAATAAAGTTAAAAATATCGATTGTTGTCCGATTGAAGTGGACACGTGGTCTTAATTTTAGGCTTAATGATTCCATTGAAAATTTATTGAATTGACTGTATTAAAGGAGAAAATTGTATAAATAAATAAGATATAAACTCCAATTTGAAAACAAAAGATGTATTAATTTTTAAATTCCTGTTGAAATAAATCAAAATGGCTCTAGTTAATCCTTTGTTTCTAATTGGGACATAGGCGTGAGTTTATTAGCATAAAAGCATTAAGCATAAAAGGAAATTGTATTTTTTTAATTAAACTTCTTCGTTTATGATTTCATCAAATTCGTAAATCAATCTAAATGAAAATAAAATGAATCCATCCTTAAATCGCCATCTTATTTCAGTTGTTGAATTGACACTACTTTAATGTAATATCAGTATTAAATGAAGATGTTGAAATAAAGATGAATTTAATTTACTATTTTGAATGTTTATGCAGACTTGTTCTAGATTGCAGCTGTGGTTTTGGGACACATTGAAACAATTCACTCAGTCGGTTCGCCGATGTCTAGGTGGGAGCCGTGGCAGTAAATGTTAACCAAAGTTTCTCTGAAGTTTGTTTATACCATGTTTGATGATTGTCTATTTGTGCGTTTGCAATGAAGTTGAAACTACAACGTAAGGAGCGCATGTTTAGATGTGTTAGAACTGTTAAGACGGCTGTACAAAATATGATTCCAACTATAGTTATAAAATGTATGGAATCATTTTGAGAATGTTTGCTTTAGTTATGCTCATTTTATTCTTAGATTATTCTAGTATTTAGTCTCATCCATTAATTCTGTAATAGAAATTTCTGAATTCAGGAAATTTTCTTTGGCTTTATGAGAAATAATTGCTTTATTACTATATTGTATGAAGTGAATAATTTTGTGGATGTAGTATCATTGTAGATCACTTTTTAACATTTTCTTTGTTAAAGTTGAAATTTTTATTTCTATTTACAATTAAAAACATAAGTCAATCCTACACAGCACATACATTTCCATCTTTTATCCACAATAAGGTTTATCCGTCTCTTTATATTGTGATTATTTTGTTTTTGCATCAGATTTCTACAGCACTGCCTCTAATGATTAAAATAGGTAAACAATTTCTTCTCCTCTGCACATTTACTATTACCTGATACTGTTTGGTCTTTGGGTTTTCAATGAAAATGATGATTTAACAGTCTTATATTGTTGTTCACAAATATGGTAAGGCTACAAGTCTCATAACTTTAGACCTGAAATTGATGACAAAGTTAAAGCAAATCAAATGATATCTTTAATTGCATAAGTTAACATATCAAACAGTTTCTATGGATAGATAGCTTTACTAAATGAGTAGTAAATTTACCTGTCAAGAATGAGATTATATAAAGTGGAGTAAAATAACTAAGTAAATATTTTGTTGAAGAAAAATTTAATATACATCACAAAACTTTAAAAACAATATTTCTGGTAGAGATATCATTTTTTTATCATTATTATAATTAACTTTTATTTTTACGAAAATTACTATTGGATGAACTCAACAAACTTTTAAAGAAATTATCTTGATTAGTTTTGTTAATGGCTTGTCTAAAGTATGGCAATTTAAATATAGAAGAAAGATGTCAATGACACTTTTTTGGATGTTTATTGGACATGATAATTTTGTTAAAAGCAAAGAAAGTAATTTACTAATTTTAAATTTTAAACAGATTCTTAAAAATTTTAAATAAATAAAAAGCAATAAACCACATGGATTGTCATGTTGCCACTACAGTTGTGACATCTATTTTATTCAAATCTCAGAAATTATCAGAAGTATTACATGAAAACAAGGGTCAGTCTGTGCCAGGCTTGGATTTTTAAACAGACAAAACAAAAATGAACAAACTTGTTCAAAAAAGAAAAAAACTGTTAATGTACGAAAAGCCTAAAATAATTACTTGACTATACATAAAAGATACGAAAAGCCTAAAATAATTACTTGACTATACATAAAAGAATTTCTATTTATTATTCTATGACTATGTACAACACGAAATAAGTTAGAAAATTCAAAAAAGATATATTATCTAATCAAAACAAAAAACAAGTATACAAAAATCTTTCCTGACACTTGGGAACTTAAATTAATGTAGAATTATCTTAAAACTATCTCCACAAAACATCAAGAAATGTGAAACTGGACTATATACAGGAAATTCACAAAATCTTACAATTAACTTGCCTAACCATCACCAAGAAACTTTAATCTGCCATCTAATTCAAAAGCCTTTTTCCTTTTTTTAACCTTGCTCGATCCTTGCCTCATCTTGTCAATTCACAGTTTATCTCTCTCCTTATTGAATTGGTGACATTACATTGCTACACCCACTCAACCCTATTTACATACATATATAGTGAAGGGGTATTTACAGGAGGCCCCCAATTAACTATATACGCAAACCAGAAGTCATGTTGTTAATAAAGAAATAACATTAAATATGCAAGAGCTTAAATGCCATATTCAATTTTATTTCGAGCAAACCTATTAAAGGATGTAACTATTATTTTCGTTCTGACCCCTTGACCTATCATGCTCTGTAAAAAAATTGTGTTTGGATTGATTATGATCTAAGATCAAAGATGATTATTGATTGACTAAGACAAAAATATCACTAGAAGAATAGGATTACAGGCTTCAAGTTATAAATTATTGATGAATTATTTGTTTGGATGGAGATGATTGAATTTTCTAATATTGTATGTACTAAATACTTGATCTAATTTTAAACAATTATAAAAAATTTTGTATAAATGGAATAACGTAACAGTTGATTACAATTAAAAATTGGTTTATGGTATTTACATTAAAATATAAAAAATATATATATTGAAGATATAAAACTGTCATCATCTTCTGTCATTTACATTCTTCAGCAACAATCCAAAAACAGTTTTCACGTACAAAAACATGCTTTTATTTATTCTCCACAAAAAATGGTATTAGCATCATCACTAGAGGACGTTTTTATCTGTTTTACATTTTCTGTTTTTTGCAGAAGTGCAACCTCAAAAATAAGGTCTTCATAAGTAAAAATTGTTTTCAGGTTGTCACTTGTGATTATAAATTGATGGAAGGTGAAGACAAAAGTACCATTTTACTCTTCTACATTGAAAAGTAGTTTGTTAAAGATATTTAAAAAGTGTAAACAAAAGAATTTATTAAATAATCAGCATATTTTGTTTTATTTCAGTCTGCTTATAAAGAGTCTGGTGATCATGTGGATGATGCTCAAAACTGGCCCATTCATCGTATTAGAATTACGTTAACCAGCCGTAATGTACGAAGTTTAGAAAAAGGTAAATCTGCAATTAAAGTTTTTATGCATATAGTATTTGAACAGTGTAAAATATTATTTAGACATCAAGATACAGGTGATTGCATTACAATAAAAAAAATTTCAGATATTACTTTCAATTATGGTAATATTATATTCATATTTTAAGTAGCCATGATTTTTTATGATAGTTATTAAAACTTACAGACATTTGCAACTGATTTACATAAATAAAAAATGTTTTTTGATAAATTTAAATTTTCCCTATATAGTTGGATAAAAAATTGATCAGTAGATGGTTAGAGGAAAAGATATGTGGAACCACTGATGTTTATCAAGCAGTGTTTTCAGATATGTATATAGTGGGTACGTTTGCAAAGTCAAACAAGTTAAGCGAGAATGACGTTATTCTTATTTTGTTAGACTTTTCAAACTAAATGGCTGTTTCTAAAATCAAAGATATTACTAGTGCAGTCTTATCCGAAATATTTTTCTTAGATTGCTTCAGATGGACAGTTATTTCAATCATTTCACCTTTTAATTCACAATTTAAACATGAATAGATTTAGAAATGTCAATATCGTCGGGTGCCATTTTTTTTAATGAAGTAAACTAACTATTTCCTTCATGAGCTTCGTTAGAGTTTCGTTCGAAATGTCATCACCGCATAGCATGCGCACTGAGCGAGACTACTTTTCGAACAATTCGTTACTAACTTGTTTGACTTTACGGATGTACCCAGTGTTATTGATTTAGAACAATTATGTTACTTCAAGTGATACCTGGCAATTTTTGGAAAAACTATTTCACTTCTTTTACCATTTGGTATTAAAGGTTTGTATTTTATACCCACTTCACAGGTCAATCTAAATTTTGGACAAATATTTTTTAAGGTCAACTTATGTGCTACCATATAAACAATTGAAATCATCTACAAATTTAATTTCTTAATAAATGCTGAAGTGGTAAAATTTATTGAAAACAATATTTTCATCCCAAAAAGTCGTTTTTGGATTTAAAATTTGGCACATTGTTTTATATTTGATATTTTTTTTTTTAATGGTTATGTTTCATATCTTGTTGCATGAAGATTTTTTACTCAGAAGAACACTGATCTGTTTTTGCTGCTATTTCAAATGATAATTAGTAACATCTATTATTACATTGATTTGATATTTTTTTTTAAATCTTAATTGAATTAATTGACACATTTTCCTTTTTGTTTCATAATTTTATTATTGAAGTATGTAAATGCATTCTTTTTTACAAGAATTAATATCTTTATCTCTTCTAGAAGCAAAATATGCATGGTACTAATGGGAAATTTTTAACTAGTATGTGAAGTGTTCCATTAATTAGGTAAAATATTCTGTCATGTTATACATGAAGTGTGAAAGCTATGGTTATTCACTAGAAATGCTTGATAATAGCATTAATTCTAAGTGTTAACAAAGAATACAACCCTTTTTCCAAGTTGCCACTGCAAAATGTCGCTAATTTGAAAGTAGCCAATGTTTTTTTAAATTAAAATTTTAAACACTTCTTAGAAATAGTCACTATTGAGGCTAGTTAACATGTGCACATAATACCTTACAAAAGTTCTGCTGTTTAGACTATCAACGTCTCTAAGTCTAAAACTTATTTTTTATTTACTATATTTTTTAAAATCTTTTTTGTTAATTTTTTGGCTGGAATATTTTGCAGAAAACAAGCAAAACTAGATTGGATGTAAATTTCTTGTCAGTACATATTGATATTAATAAAAATGCATAATATTTGCATCCTGTTATGCTTATATTATGTTCTAGCAAAAGAGATATCATTATTCAACAGACTTTGGAATATGATGTAACCAATATTCATTCAGACATAAGTGGCAAGAGTCAAAATTATCATCATTGTATGAAAACAATTTTATTGATTACTTCATACTATATTTTATGAATCTTAGCAGGGCTCATATGATGCACACATCCTTGCTACCAGCAAAGATGAAAGTTATAGGAATTTTACAGGTTCTGAAGCACATCTCTAGTTGCTATCATATGCAGTAAGTACTTTAACTCTCTACGCTCTGAAAAATCTCTTCTTTCAATATATCTGCAGATGAAATTGATTTCACCACTCAGATTGCTAGGGAAATTTGTATAGTAGAACTAGTCACACAAATTTCCCTTCAGCCCATTTTGTTTTGAATGAGTTAAGGCAATTTTGGCTGGTCTTAGTATTTAAATTAGCATTAAGAGCTCTTTATAGGTAACATGCAGTTTTAAGCAAGTTTTCTGAAACAACCAAAAATTACTCATTTAAAATTTTCTGCTGGTGGACATAACATGGGAGATGCTATCCATAATTAATATGCTGCCGTCTATCAAAGATGTCTATAATTTACATAATTTTTAAACTAAAACTGTTGTAATAATCTGTATTATAGATTGACAAGCATAAACTGAATAGTTCAAGCAACAACCTTTAATATTCAGCAATAAATTAACATTGCCAATTATGTTGTAGTTATTTTCAGGTTTAAACATAAAGTTGTAATGATTTTGTATAATAATTTTGTTTAAAACTGAATATGGCCACTGAAAGTAGTTGAAAACGTTTTTATTTTTAATTTATTATTGGATATTAAAAGTTATTGTTACTTTATAGTTTTGTATAGATTTATACAAAGAGAATTGTAAATAAATATTAGAAAGATGAATTTTATTTATATGCGTGTACTAATGTCTAATCTATTGTTTACTAACCTGTTTTTACATATTATTAATTGATTGGAATATTTTTTTTTTTTTTTTTTAGTTTGTTCTGACCTGATAAAAGGAGCTAAAGACAAAGAGTTAAAAGTAAAGGGACCAGTTCGTATGCCAACAAAAGTCTTGAGAATTACTACACGTAAAACACCTTGCGGTGAAGGTTCCAAGACATGGGATCGTTATCAGATGAGAATCCACAAACGTGTAATTGATTTACACAGTCCATCTGAGATTGTTAAACAGATTGTATCCTTTACAGTGTCAATTTATAAAATCTTAATTCAATAATACAGTAGAGCCATCGTTTATCTGAATCAATTGGGGACTGGGTTTGTTCAGATAACCAATTATGTACGAAAAAATATATTAACCTATCCTATGTTGAAATTTTTCTCTGTTGCGTGTCGCTTTGCGTTGAATTTTTGTCGATGTTAAGCCTAACGAAAACTTTTTAAAATAATAATTGTGGCTATTGTATCGTTAAAAATTATTTTTTTATTTTGTACAAACAAAATAAATATATTGAAAAATATAAAAACCAAAAAATATATACTTTAGAAGTTGATCTAGTATCAAAAATGTTTGATTCAGCACGACACACAGTTCTCAGAAAAACACCACCCAAAAGTGCCAGTGCTGCCAGCTAAAACACATACACCAACAAAAAAAATATTGGAGTAGCCCAAGATATAGCCAAAGATTGCAGCACCACAGCACTAATGAATATTTAAATTTGCTGACTGGAATGCTTTCGGATAACCGACGCTCTACTGTACTTATTTATTAAATATCATAAGAGTTTATATAGTATATACATAAGCTTTAGTAAGAATTTTTAATTTAAAATAGGATTAAAAGAAATGTCAAAAAATTTATATTTATCAATACAATTTTAACAAATACAGAAATTTCATAGTGTTTTAGTCTATTTATTGTATTTAAGAAAAAAAAAACATAGCACATACAATGACAATTCAACCAAAAATAAGCTTTAATTAAGTTTAGATTATGATCAAAAATGTTTCTTAAAATTGTTCTGGCAGCTGGAATTGATATATATATTCATAGAGATTACATCATTATGAGGCAGCTAAATTATCAATCTTGCTCTAAGGATCTGGGTTCAAATGTGGGCTGGCAAAAAACTCCCAAGAATTTTCTGTGGATGGTCTGACTGAGATATGTGAGACCTCATTCCTCACCACTTAGATAGACTTATTGTGGACCAGATCCAAATGGGTATTGAAAAAAGGGATCTTATTGCTCAAAAATAAAAAAGTATATGTATATGTGGTTTCATTTTGTATTATGTTTTGGTATGAGAAACAGTAAAAACTGTATGTATATATGACAAAGATACTTATCTAAAGGTTAGATTTTTTCCATTATAGTTTTTGTTCTGTATTTGAAGTATGGAAAATGAATTTCTTTAAATTTTTCCTAATTTTATATGATACTATCAGTACTCTTCATACTTGCTTTATGGAAACTGTAGACCAAATCTGTGTTCTAATGCATATGTTGGAGTTCAAATAAATTATTTGAGAACTGCAGATTGTGACTTACTATGTGAAATGTTTGCTAACAGTCCATCCTGTAATTATGTTAGTGCTTTGAAAGTGTAGTGTTTGTTTCCTTCATATTTATTGTAATATAGGCTATCTGTATAATTTGTAGTTCTCTGTATTTGTAACATCTTTGGATGTGTTCATTATTGAGGCCATTGCCACCTTTGCCTTTTTATATCAAGTATCAGTAGTGTGTACAATTCATTTCAAAAGGGTTTTTGCTTTAATAAAACAAATAGTTCATAATAATAATTGAGGTTAAAAGTAAAATTAGTACTTATAAGCAAGTTTATTTGTTACTCAAGAAAATAAATATAGCAATATAACTTATGCTGTATATACAGGGTGTTCTTCTCAAGCCTCCCTAGTTTTATGGATTAATTTTGGATAAAGAAATGTGAGTACAAGTACTATAGACAGTGGTACTAGAAAGTGTATCTGAAAAAGTTACTACATTAAATCAACACATTTCCATGTGCTCGTGACAAGGCACTTATGATATTCATTCTGTGCTTGATTTTGGCCCATGTCCAAACCAGCATGTTAGGAGTCACGCTGTTAATTGCATCCACATTTCTTGTATGCAAGGATCTCATGTCTGGCACTGGGATTCATATACCTGTACAAATCACAAACAGTACAATTTAAAATTAGGTGTGAGGGGAACATGCTGTATTATTTGAAAATATATAATCTTTTAAATGAAAAGTTTTTTAAAGTTTGCTAACCATTAATGCGTGAATATTTTGTGTATGTAATTTCTTTGACATCATTCCAGACTTCAATTAGTATTGAACCAGGTGTAGAGGTTGAAGTAACTATTGCAGATGCTTAAGTAATTTTTGCTAATAAAAGTAAAAGTTATCACTGAGTTTTTTGTGTGTTTGTGTGTAAATTTCTATAAACAGATTTTCAAAAAATACATTTTACAAATACTGTATAATGAATTGAGATGAAATTCAATTTAATAGGTTGGCTTGAAAATATTCAGTTGGATTACAATTCCAGTGAACATTGTTTTCAAATTAATTAACCTGTTATAAAAATGTAAGGAACAACATATTTTATTTCTTATTACCTTACATACATACATACATGCAGTTAGTGTTTGTGTTTATTGAATAGGTAAGCTTTGTTGACGTTATTCAACGTTTCTGTATTTATAATAAGTGAAATATTTTTATTGTTTTAAAACGTTACTCATTTTAATTGAAATAACTGACTAATCTCAAGCTAGGGAGGAGGCTGCAAAACATTTAAATGTTTAAAAAATACAATAAAACGAAAATTAATGCTTTTAATTAAAGAAAAATAATATAACAAGCAATATTCTATTATTAATATTTGCTATCCTATATTATTTAACCATAAAAGAACTTCCGACGTAAATCGAGTCATGTTATTTCGATTCAAAACTTTTCCCCGATGACTGACACGATTCTATTGTTAAAGGAAAAGTATGATGTAGTGTATTGTACAGCGAAGACAATACAGTACTAATTGAGGTGGAGAGCGTATATTTTAAATAAAAATCGCAGCTCGGCATGGTGACGACATCAATAATTCGTATTGTATTTCGTTTTTGATGTACTATATCAGTGTTTCTCAACCTCTAACGAATCGTCGCCCTCTTCAACGTAGTATCGTCCCCTTCACTTCAAAATTCCGATGCCGAGGGCCAAGGCTAACGCCAAATTCGTACTGCATTGAATAGACTAGTGACTAGTATAATGTTATTTGTTTAATTATCTATACTAATATAATAAAGAGGTAATGTTTGTATGTATGTAAGTTTGGATGCAGCAGGTAATCTCCAAAACTACTCATCCGATTTCAAAAATTTTTTCACCAATATTTAGAATGGAACTTCAGGATGGACATAGGCTGTATATTATTCCGTTAAACATGGGGGATGGACAGTTCTTTACGGTAAGCTTTACGGAGAAGGCTTACCGTAAAGAACTCTGCTTCTATTTATACTATTTTAAATGCGGTTTTTTGCATTTTTGATTGCATTTTAATAGAGTACGTCAACAGAATGTACACTAAGAAGGGATTTTTCGATATTCCCCC